GAATTACGATGCGGATAATTTTCTTTGTTCGGATTGAGAAACAATATTCATTTTACTTGCTGACTTGATGGACTATAGTTTGAAAGAGTAACCGTACTTCGTTTATTTTGTCATATATCATTTATAAAGGAGACTGAAGAGGACTTTTGTAAAAGTTGAAACGTTTCTCAGTTAAATATAGAATATTTTAATAAAAATTGTGATTATTTAAAATTGTCATCATTTAATTTGTTTGGCTTGTTCTAATACCGTAATTTAATATCTTTATTTTATTTGTTGTTTTAAAACATAACAAGCGTTGTCATTGTAATTATATATTTTTATATTTATTTATTTATAAGTTTTAATAATATAACCCCATAATTTTGATGAAAATGGCACCATGTCAATTTATCTCAAACATGACTGAATCATGTTTAAATGATAAATATATTAATTAAAATTATATTTTTATACTGTAGATTTTATTACATTTTGTTTTTGTATATTTTAGAAAAATGCGATTTAGCATATGAATTAATATCAACTGAGCAGGATACGGATGCATTACAAATTTCAGATGACAATGTTGAAAATAATATATGCAATGATGAGATTATACTTTCAATTGATATTTATCATTTTTGTTACTTACTAGCATAATGTGTATGTGTGTGTGATAAAATTATATTTTTGTAATATCAACATAAAAGAAACTTTTTGTAGATACAATATCAGCGGATGTAAATAATACAAACATCAATGACAATAACGAAACATCAACTTTACGGGAAACAACAGCAGTTATCAAATCAAATTTTAGAAATACACCAGAAAAAATAGGAAAAGAAAGGCGTAATAAGAAACAAAGAGCTATAGTGTATGAAATACCAGATGTAGAAGAAAAACTGCGTATAGAACGAATAAAACAAGTTATAAAGCAGGAGCAGCAACTCGCAAATATAAAATTGCAACATGAAGAAAAAATTGTTAAAATTAAAGAAAATTATTTAGAGAAAATTAATCAATTAGTGTTAAGTAATTTAAAAGAAATACATAATATTCAAATACAAGTTAATAAAACCAAATTAAGGATTTTGGAGCATGATTTAAAAATAAAAGAGAATAAGTAGAGAATAGTAGATAATTAGCAGAGAAGCAGTTTTAACAGAAATTCTATTTGTTTTATTAAGTCTTAATAGTTTACTGCAATAAAATGTTTGTGTTCTGTTTATTTTATTTATATATTAAAATGTTGCGCTTTAATCCCGATCTATTCAGTAAGTATAGTAGGGTCTAAGTTCTAAGAAATTGACTAATCATAGTTGAATGTGAAAAAAATTTACAACTATGATGTTTATGTTTCGTCAATATTTTTGTATATAAAATTAAATGATATATGTTCTATTAAATAAAGAAATATAGAATACATTGTTTATTATTATAGTTTATTAAATTACATTTATTAAATTATTTTTGTATTAAATTCAGCACTCATATTTAACACTTATGTTGAACTAAACTAATTTAATTGTACTCATATCATATTATCTAAATAGTCGCTCAATGAGAGCATTTCGCACAATGAAGCCTTCTCCAGGTTGCCAGTGAGGTTCGTTTACAGGAACAACTTCATCGATATCATCGTTTTCTATTTCTTCTTCGTCTTCAAGTACATCCTTAAAAATCAAGGATAGATTATGAACGACAGCACAGGCAACTACAATTGTAGTGGAGGTTATAAGTCTTGTTGTAAGTCCTTTTGATAAACATGGAAATCTTCGTTTTCATATGCCAAATGTTCTTTCCACTATATCCTTCTGGTTCTTTCAAGCATTGCATTGTAACTATAATAAAAATGTTATTTTTAATATAAATTTAATTTTAATAAAAATTCTATAAAAATTTTTGTATTATAACAAAATTAGAACCTTATTTCCTCATCAGTTGTAGCTTTAGCAATCGGAGTGAGTAAAAAAGGGTAATGCTGGATATCCATAACATCTCCGACTAGCATACCCTGTAATTCCCGCTGTGTATATCGCATATAAACCCGTGAATTTTGAAAAATCCTGCTGTCATGTTAACTTCCTGGCCATTCAGGAACTATATCCTGTTCGTAGCCCAACAACAGCCTAAAAATATACACATAAAATATGTTTTTTAAATTTGTAACCAATATTAGCATTTTATAATATATTAAATTTAAATATTCAATTTATTTTATACAATTAAATTTATTTAAAAAATAATACATACTTGAACATTTAAAGAAAAATATCCTTTTCTATTTCTAAATATTTCTTCGATATTCTGCAATTTTGTATGTACTAAACGTACATGAGTGCAATCAATTGCTCCATCTATATTAGGAAAACCAATAGCTCCAGGACCACAACCAAGTTGTTTAAATAATCGTTTTGTTTTCAGATTTTGCTTCATCAGAAATGGGTATTCTGATATATCGATTAATATTGCTAGTTAATAAAGTTGAAACACGATAAATTATTCTTGAAATGGTAGATTGTGAGATTCGTGCAACATCTCTTACAATAAGCTGCAATATAAAAATTATTATTTCTTGTACATACAACTGATTTTGGTAATTATATTGAATACGGGCCTCACCTCCGATTTTGATCTAATTAGGCTCATTCGACGCGTTTTCACTCAAAATGAAAGAATCTGGAAGAAATTTGTGGCGCTCTACCTCGTGAATCGAGATATTAAGCGTTAAAGTTCGAGATTTTAGAGGTTAAGATATCTGTCACTGCTTTAAAAATAACAAATTACTGCTTTAGAAACACAAAAACACTGCTTTAAAAATACAAATTCACTGCTTTAAAAAACAATTCAATTTAAAACAATAGTGGAGCCCCCCCAGCAGGGGGGGCAGAACCCACTGCATCCACGCATACACTTTTAACGTAGAAGTAATATGCGTGGATACAGTATGTTCCGCTCCCTCAATCCCTCTATAGGCCTCTGTACACGGTCAGTAATACTGTCAGTATCAACGAATGTGTGTGGTTAATATTAATGGATTGACGTAGAATACTGACGATGATTGGGACTTAAATACATGCTTTTTCCTTAAAATCCATGTCGCCATAGATAATAATATACGTCAAATCACATCAAACTAAAGTAAAATATTATCAATAATACCTGATTGTATAAGATTATAAAAACTAATGTATACTGTCAGTAATACTGATCAGTATTGTCAGTATTATTGACCGTGTAGGGAGGCCTTATGATTGTACTGTTGCTGTAAAAACAACAATTCGCTGCTTTAAAAACAATAGTGGAACCTCCCCGCAGGAGGGGCGGAACTTATTGCATCCACGCATGTTATATCTACGTTGTAAAAGTGTATGCGTGGATACAGTGGATTCCGCCCCCCCCCC